ATTTTACCACTCTTCTCATTTTGTATGCCCTCTGTTGCTCTTCATGTTTAAAAATTAGCACAGTTTATTAAGTGGGGCCTCACAATGAGCACAGAGGAGCCGCGGGTCAAACCCTTGAGCGTGAGTGAAAGTCTGGCAGTAATCCGGGGTCTGGGGAGAGCTGTTACTGTCCAAAACCAGGAGGAGGCCATGTGGAAAGGCCAGGACAGGACTAGGCTGCGACAGACACAGCGACTAAGAGAGGAAGGTTAGCCGGCTGGAAGGAGTACAAGGAACAGGCTGAAATAATCAGGCCATAATGACAAATGAGCCCAGGGAGGTGGGGAGGAGAGAGGGAAAGAGAGGGACAGCAATAGAGGAGAACAGTTTTGAGGGAAACGAGAGAGAGACACAAGAGCTTGTGATTCTGTTGGCTTGAGTTGGTCTGCAAAGTTTCAATGGCCTACATAAAGTTGATGATAAGAGATATGCTGGCTGCAACTAGCTGCATGACCCAATCACAAGACACTCGCACGCTCCTCCGAGGAATCCTGCAACAATGGTGAGAGCGAACGGTGCCTCTCCCCTTAGCGGCCTTCAACCAGTAGCCTTAAGACACAACACCTCCACTGGCCTGCTTTCACAACGTGCGCTCTCAATGTCCTACAAAAAGTTCTTCTTTAAAAAGTAGTGTGTGGGGCAGTTTCAGTAGAAGTCCTTCAAGGCTGCAATTCAGGGCAAAATAATCTGTGGATTCACAAAGCTATATTAGAGAAACAGACTCCTGCGCTTTCCGAAATGACCCCATATTTTGCTTTTTATGAGCATGATTTACGGCCAAGCCCCCTCACGGGACTTGTTATAACTGCTGACTGGGGGCGTAGAGGCTAATTTGTTTCACCGTCACCCGAGGCCTTGTTTCATCCAGGCCTGAAATCAATGTTCCTAATGGAGGCTGAACATTGCAAATCCATCCTCACCATGTCTCTTACTCTCTTTCTGAAGGGATGGACAGCAACAAGAAATCACCACATACTGCTCCTCCAGATGACTCACCCCTGTTTTGGTTTTGAAACCTTTAAAATCCTTTCAGATGATCCCAAGTGACTGTGTTTAAAGCTCTAACTCTATGACGACAGTCGCTGTGACAACCCTAGCTACCATCGTTGCCCTGTGACTCTGTTTTCGACAGCACAGGGGTAGTGTCCATTTGGTCATGATTCACCGCTGCGACTCTGGGCCCTCAGGGAGAACGGGTGATGCTGTTTGAGAGTGATCTGTTGTGATGTAACGCTTAAGGCGGAACCTTGCTTTTATAATGAAGTACAATACCCCACGGACGGCTGCTTCTGGGTGGGGCGAGATGACCCCTGCTCTTTGAGGTTTCAAAGAAGGAAAGAAGAAATCCTTGTCTTCTCATGTGTCACAAATCCTTACAAGGATTTGTATGGATTTGGTGTGTGCAGCAGATGATAGTTAATTTTTCCTCCTCCAAGGTAATCCATTCAGTGTACCCTCGACTCCTACACATCATATCTATGCAGCGAGGGAATGGTCGCAGAAATTACTGTGGGCTGCAAACTTGACATCCGCCCAGCTTAAGGCAGCCTTTACCGAGCTGATGGGATTCAGTGTGGGCTTTCACAAGGTTGCCTCCTAATGAATTTCCTCTGAAGCTACGGACGGAGCTGTTCAAAAGCACAGCGGAATTCAGGATGACTCAATGAAAGCAAACCCCTGCTTCGAGACAGAGAGCGTGTCTGTGTGTAGGTAAGAGCTGGAGGAAAACCTTACAAATCCTCTTAGTCTGCACATCGCTTTTTTGACACAACAAATCAATGCCTAATACTTTCTTAGCGCTGTCGTGTGCACCCATCCCCCCACCCCTCTGTGATTGCAGGAATCATTACTTCGTCTGACAGCTGTTTGGTATATGTTCCTGCATTCTCTCTGACTCTGGCTGACTGTCTGTCTGTTGGGCTTCCTCCTGGCACAGTATCAATAAAAACACTCCCATAAAGCTTTATCAAAGCTGGCGTTTCTCGTGGCTCGCATCTTTTTTGTTATTGTTGTTGAGAATAGGCAGCTCCCAAAAACCCAAGCTCGTCTATCGAACATGCATTTATAATGTGTTAAAGTGCCCAAATTGTAACGCTCTGTTAATCACGCCTATGGATACTGGCAACTGTCTGATCAACGGGGAATTGGTTAAACAGCATACCCACACGGTGAACCAATTAGGTTCCGAGTTGTTATACAGTAAGGGAGATGGTGGGAAGATGAAGCAGGGTTCTCATCAGTCCTATCTCATTACCTGCCCGGCTGAGATGCCGTCTCAAGCAGCAGCTAAATGAAGCAGACAGTTTATGAGATGCATACAAGTACAACACATAACAATGCTGTCACGCACAGATGCTCACAAAGTGCCTGCATAAACTGGGGCAGAAACAACAAAGTCACCATAGACTCAAGCTATAAATTGATTTCCTTAACGTCTCACTGTTTTCTCCTATCTCCAGCTTGAGGAGAAAAGGCAAAAGCTGAATTACACATTTTCGCTCAGCACGAGGCTTTAGTCCCTGTCTCTTTAGAGCGGTCCTGCATGAATCCATTTACTTGATGAGGATAGAACCAATCCAAACCATATTTTCGGTCAGCTTCTGACTGTAGGTCTGCACAATCATGTACCAAAAGCGGTATTCTGGAGCAAAGTTGTTCTAGATACATATTTTGTCAGTGTCTCTGGTGGATTTGCATGGGACCAGTCTGGTGATACTAACATTACAAAACAGCTGCCCAAGTTTAGAGTGTGTGCGTACAACACCAACAAACTCGTATAGTACAGTAACAGCTGCATCCAGACATTACCACACAGCTGCTTTTACATGGTATCTCTCTTCTGTCACACAATCTGATGGTAATGGCAACAGCCTGTTAAGGATTTGCCTTTGCTTTCTGCAACCTGTCACTGTGATGCTTTATTTGTTATGCAGATTTGACAGCTTCCCTATGCTTTTCAAGAAGGCCAGCCAAACATAAGCAGGCAAGCTCTGAGAAATGATGAGGCAAGGGGACATTATTGTTTGGACAAGCCGTTAACAGTGATAACTTTTGCAAACATATAAACCATCGGGGTACCACACTGAGCATTTATGACAATATTTCCTTTTGGAGATACTGATGTGAAACAAACACAGAAATCTTGGTTCATCCCAATCACAAAATACTAAACCTGCAAGCAAGTATAATAGGGTCCAAGCACCCCACATAATTCAAAGCCAAAGGCTTATCAACTTGGAGCAATCAGGAAGCCAACAGCTCTTGTAGTTTGTAAGGTGGTGGAATCTTTTGTTTGTGGCGCTCATATACAGCAAATATACATATTTAAATATATTTAAAAATCTGTGGTCTGTGGATAATCAAAAGAAACTGCGGGTGGGTTCACACCGACCTTGTTTAGTCCAGTTGAATGGAACCCTGGAGCGTTTAACCCCTTGATGTGGTTTGTCTGAGTTAGTTTAAACGTTGGACTTGAATTATTTTTAATTATTAGAAATAATTATAATATGTAATATTATTTCTTGATGAGGAAAGGCCCCTTTTGATATATCATACTTTTTTATCTATGTAGCATGTAAGCATTATTTAATTAATTCAAGGGGATACATATGGATTAGGTGCTTTAATGATAAGCCTTTCCTGGCCTATTTGCAGGGGCCAACTTTTTTTTGCATGTTTGCAGTTGTGGCCCACTTACTTGGTGCACTGTGTATGATAAATGCAAACAAGTCATGGTTTGATCTGTGATGTCTGATGCAGAGTTTCTTCCTTGAAATGCCTGCATTATTCAAATTTTTAATACCTGCTGTCTTACGAGACATTTATATGCGCTAACTAAGACTATTTGCTGAGTATGTGGGAACTGGTATGAGGGAAGCTGGCTGAGATCATGTTTTCTATATGCGCCTAGTGAGATGGACAGGCCCTTTCTGGAGCATCTCCGTGAAGCGAACTTAGAAAGCACAGGGAGGAGGTGTGAAGTGTGAAACTTCTCATTCCCACGAAGCCGCAATGATACTGTTTAGCATTTTTGTCACTATTGGACATTTGAAATAGTGCCGAATGCAGAGTATAAGAGAGATAGCAGAGCACATGGAAAACTAGAACACAGAAGGCTCCGGCAGCCATACACTCCTGCGGGGAATTATACTATAAAAAATACACAAGCCTACTACTGTACGCTCATTAAAATGCCCTCAGTTTGCTCTAGTAGAGTGGCTTCTCTAGCAGGCAAAATTATCCTGTAGATTGAATTTAAATCATTCACAACTTGGTGAGGGAATGAGCCCAGGACAGGCTTTGTCTTGGTTCATCACAACATACACATAATCAATCCATCATGGAATGTGTGAATAACGTAGTATAAGTATTCTGCTGGCAATCAGATAGATAGCAGAGAGGCACGTGCAATATCATTCTACCAATTACAGAGGAGTAAAGTGCTTTGTGTAATATGCCGTAAATGCCGTGCCAGGTCCCCAATTACATTTAGAAAATGTGTCCCGCTTGGAGATGAGCGTTGAATAATGAAAGCAGCCTCCATTCACCCACATATCAGACTCGAGGGAAGAGTGAGGTCATTTCAAACCACAGTAATTATCAAAAGTGTGCTTCATGGGCTCAGAGTCAAAATTAATATTCCAAAATATCTCTCCTGTGTTAATTGCTTCTTAAGTTAATAGCTGTTGGTTTCTAGAGGAAAATGCATTTCAAGCCTTAATGAAACTGACAAAACTTTTCTACCCCACTGAGTCCCAAAATGCAGAAAATGAAGTGCATGCAACACTGGGAACACAATATCCACAAAGAGTATGTCTATTTTAGGGCTGCAACGTATCTTAGAGAGAGCATGCACTTGTCTATTTAGAGTCTCTGTATACAAAATGCACAGACAGACAAAGCAGGCGACCGACAGAGGCAGTGCAGACCACATTGAAAGTGTAAAAACATAGGATAGTCACCAGAGATTTACTAAAAAAACATGTTCAATTTCCTGTAGGATCTCAAGCTCTCTAAAGACGTTTCGGACCTCATCTCTCTCTATGCACTGCTGTTTGTTCATGTACTTCATGGCGTACATCTTCTCGGTGTCCCTCTTTTGCACAATGCATACCTGCAGCAAGCAAAGACAGAACAGAGAAGGGGGGGGGGGGGGGGGGGGGGGCAGAGATACAATAAAGCATATTAGTACAAGACAAACATATTTAGACAGTTTGCGTACAAAATCTGCATGTGAATTTATAAAATAACAATACATATGCTTACATGAACACAGATCTAAACGCAAAATTGTGTTGGCAAAGAAGAGAGAATTATATCACTGTTAAGGTGTACAAGCCAAGTTTCAGCTCCACAAATGCGACCACGCAGCCATGCAAATCAAACATGTTTTCCAAACAGCTCACAGCATCTTTTCGGCTGTTGATTAATGCAATCGTTAAGATGGATAGGCTACCCTGTACTGATGTATAAAATGCTGATACGCTCAGCTACTCTAATGAAGTTCATTTTCAAACACAGAAGATTGTGGCGGCAAACAAATCACCTCGTTATTTATTTATCAAAAGTTTTTGCGGTTTTGTCAGGAAGTGGCTGTGAAAGGTCAGGAGCAGGAGGGGACTCCAGAAAGGTCAGGGTCATTACAGTAACATTACTGTCCAACCACAATTATTTAATCATTACACAGATCATGTGTCTGCTGAACATCCTGCCTTGCAGACAAATAAGGAATTCTTGCCTATCTTCAGTCATTTAGTTTATTTGTGTAACCTCAAGACCAGATACTTGGGCATTTTCAATCAATGCATAATTACATGAAATGCAGACAGCTATCTTCATACAAAACTGATTACTTAATGGCCAGTATGGAGAGGAGGAATGAATATAACTATATCTCAGCATTCATTGAATATGGCATGTGTGTACTTTATTAAAATAGACTATCCTTTAATGTGGCTTTACTGCAGGCTGCAAAGGGTGGAAATATCTAATTTGCATGACTGTTGAGCAGGGATGCCACCAACGCTCAACACTGTCAGTAAAATGTTTAAGTGGGCCAGAGGGAAAACTAACAAGAAGCACAAAAATATTGTTCAGCTTTTATTTCTTTAACCTGATTTCTTCAATAGCATGTAAACAAGAACCCCTGTTTCTTCTGAATTGGGTAAATGGATTAAGAGAAATTTGGTTCAATCTATATAGCTATATGTTTAACAGGCAGATGATTTCTTTGTCTTGTTTATATTTATGTGAAATTATACTAGACTGCACATGCATGACAAAGACTTAAAACAGAAAATATATATATATATATATATATTGAGGCAGCAGTACCGCGGGAAACATCATTACTCATCCTTGTAATACATTTAAAATGGCAGACGTTTTCAAAGCTACGTGGGGTGGGGGGGGTGGAATCTGATTACCGACCACCTGCATGTAAAGGCACTCTCTGATTTTCTGTCTCCTTAACTTTATTTCTCCCAATAACCTAGCTGCTTGTGTGCATGCAAACATACTGAATATGAAACCCTCAATAAAAACAGAAATTCACATGATCACTCACTGTCAAAGTACTTCAGGAACACATCCTAAGCAGCTGTTTTGGTCCTAAAAAGTGTCCCCCGATGCCCCAGGTGCACTTGACCATCCTGTGAAGCATTAAGAATCCCCCTGCTATTTCTGTTATAGACAGAAGGCTTTGTCTGGACTGAACTGTCCACCAAGGCGCAGGTCTCCTCATTACAGTCAGAGCCAGGCAGATGGCTGTTTTACAGAGCACTCTGGCCCCGATACACTGCAGAAACACTGATTACAGCTAGTCATTTTCTCATTTGTTCTGTTTTTAAGTCTTACAGAAGAGAGAACATCTCCCTTGCCTCCATGCAGATGGATGTTTGTGCAGTTGTCCAGATGCATGGTTTCACATACCATCTTGAAATCAGTTACTTCAAACAAATAATGAAGAATTAGACATCTAAATATGGTTTTGTAACATCTTTTGCACTGGTGGATTTTTTTTACGTGATTGACTTGGTGGAAAAAAAGATTTTAAGACTGAACACCAAAGTAAATGAGGTGTTAAACTGGACATTTCATGTGTGGTGGCAGGAGGAACGCTATTACTGTGTCAAACATCATCTATTAATTTGTGCTCATGGTTTCCCCTCAAGCACAGAGCTCACATGAGTGCCAGCTCTGACTCGGCTCTCTCCTGTTTCCTCCGTCTGGATCTCCTCCAGGCCCAGATTCTCCTTACTTCTGTCACTTACATTAGCTCATCACAGCTGAAATTCATCAAACCTGTTCCTCCTCCTCCTTCATTAAGTGTCAGATTAAACTGAAGCAGACAAGAAGTGTGCCACATAATATGAAGTTTCTATCTGCTATGCAGTTTACAATGACTGCAGATTTACCACTCTCAATAAGCAATAATCATTTTCACAAAAGCAACTTATTTTTCTCAAGCGACCAATGTTTTTACCAGCTGAAATAGCAACACATTCAATATCTAACTAGCTAATTGTGTTTTCAAGCAGTATTTTTTCACTTTTAATGTTACAAGAAAAAGCCTTTTAGGGTGAGGATTAACCAATGTGTTTGGCACACATAACGCTATTTTATGTAACATTGCTGGGGTTGCTGGCATGTAAACCTGAATCCAGTAAAGACAAGAACAGAGCTGCTAATGTTAGCCTAGACTCTGATAACATCCAGGCTAGGCTTCCACACACTGGGGAAATACAACACAGTGGATTTTTTTAAGTAACTGTAAACCCACAAACGTAAGTGTTAATGATATGCTCTATGGCCCTGAAAGTCACGCTTGCTTACTATTTAGCCTAGTTAGCCGGACACGCTATTGATAGTGGCTTACATTAGAGCACTTTTTCTGTTGTGCATTTGCAGTTTCTTACCTATAATTGGACAATTATGAACATGCAGTTGATACTTGTGTTAAATTTTGATCAGATATCACATAGTTATCAGTTCATCTGTATAGTTATCGCTATTAATATTACTTTCATTATCAGTTAACGCAGACTTTTGATGTCCAGTTTAGATACTCATATACACAGGACTATACGTTTCTGGGAGAAAAGCCAAACTTGTTCAATACAAACATTTTTCAATTTATAAATCTCAGGACTCATTGCCAGGTAAATTTTTTAAATCCTGCTATTGGATTTCAGTTTTCCGTATCAGTTCAACCATACCCAATACCTCTTTTTTTTTTAGCCCTCAGCATAACACGCAGCTCCAGGCCCTCCTTTTTTCCATCTCCCTCGCTGAGCTTAACACAGACCCAGTTTCTCTTAGCACTCAGCCAGGCCAGTCTGTACCATCTGTACTGTGCTAGAAGGTAGACTACATAAACTCCCTTCAATTCCTGCTGAATCCAAAAGGTTAACTTTCACTGCTATGGCAAATAAACGCTTTTCCACACATGCACCTTTATGTTCAAGCAATGTTCCAGGTAGGCATCATCTGGGAACAACAAACAGAGTCAAATTTTAGAGACATTCTGGCATTTCACTGGCTCAGGACCTCTTTTGGAAATCTTCTTTATGGCTTTGTTGGGAGCAAAAGCAGTAAAATTCTCTTCTAGAGCATGCAAAAGACTACATATAACATCCAGAGCCTTTGTGCAATAGAGAAATAGTCATGTTGTGTGGGATCTAACTTGAGAGGAAATTTTCTATATGAGAGACAGATGAAAAGCCAGAACCTTATCTGGATAACTCCGATAGTACAGCACTCAGTCGACATTACATTTATTTTCTATTACTGGTGCAAACACAATTTTCTGAGAGATGCGATCTGTTAAGTTAAAAGCACTACTGAGCAGAGGGTTTAAAAAATGGTCCCTGCTCACAACTCCATTACTACGTGAGTGTAATGCAACTGTGTAAAAAAAAATAAAAAAAGTAAATGTAGGAAGCAAAATGTTCACAGCAGTGGATGATCTATTTAAAGCAAGCAACTCGTCATGCTGAGATGAAAGATAGAAAATAAATCTAAAATCATATGGTCTAATAAAGAAATTGTTAATAATAATAATGTAAATATATGCATGTTCTCAGTTAGCAGCAGTATTCATTAGGTATCATCCTTCACCTTCCTTCTTTCTTATCCTTTGAATTTTTCATGTGGCTTCATTCTGATGCAGCATGCAGGATGTGCACTTAATGGTGGCTCACAGCCTAAAGCTGCTGCCCCTTTGCCCTTTTTTTGGCTGATGTGCCCTTCTGGATCAAATAAAAAGGAATAATTACAACTCTTATTACTGCTATTGTGAGAAAACCTGCCCACAAGAACCCACTCAACAAGTCATCATCTGCACTATCATCATTCATTTCTTGCAGAGATTACACCTTTTTTTGTCTTTTGTGAATGAACTGTAAGTTCTTGATCTTTATGTTGGTTGATTTGCTCCACAGTTGTGATTGGTTTACACATTTTCCCCAGGCCTGAACAACTCTAAAGCAAATCTGAAGAAATGTTTCAGCCAAATGTTGAGGTATTCCTGCCCATGCTAGGGAGACTGCATGTTACTGAATTAATCATATAGCATTAGATATCTTGGAGCTCTAAGCTTGTTGCTTAGCACTGTAAAAGAATACAGGATGTGTTTACCCAAGATGAAAATAGCTGCTATATATGTGAATGTGTTGCACAGTGGTGTTAGTAAATCTAAAAAAGACCTGAAAGCCAACAGGTGGATGTTTATAACTGAAACATTTCGTTGCTCTGTTTTGAATTACTGCCACTGCCTCTCAAAACGTCTGTGCACGCCTCTTTGTTCACTTGACTTTAAACACGAAACTCTTGATCATTTTGAATAGATCAGTGTTTTCTTGTTTATATATTTTTCTCCGTTGACCCTATTCTCTGTGTTGCTGCTATTCTTTACAAGTTCAGATGATTGCATTTTAAACATCTATTTTCCTTTATTAAGGGGACCCATGGTGTGGCAGCTGTGCAGAATGTAAAACTCCTGAGTTTCTCAACTAATCAGACATCGCACTGTCAGTCATCTCCCACCAGCCCCGTCTTATCTGGAATCCTCAGGAGCCGGTCAGCCAAGTGAAATAATGTCTTTCAAAAAGGATT